AAAACAAACAAAATTTGGAGAATTCTGAATTTAAAAATTTCGCTAAAACGCCGCTAGATTGACCATTTCTCCCACTGTGCACCGGTAACAAAATCCATCAGCGGCCGAGTTAATAGACATCACTCTCATCTGGGTTCCCGGCTATAGGAACATACACGGGAATGAGAGGGCTGACGAGTTGGCTAAGGCCGGAGCATCTTTGGATGAATCCGAAGCAGAAACTATAAATTGTCCACTCGGTCTCATCAAAAGGGAACTGCATCTGCAATTCACACGTATGGCTGATACACGTTGGAACAACCTTCAAACCTGCAAAACTGCGAGGTACATATGGCCGCAATATGACAAGACAAAGACAGAAGAACTTCTCAAGAGCTCGAGGAAAGGTATAGTCAAATTAATAGCCACGACAACGGGACATTGGCCCATTGGTGAACATGCAGCTAGAATGGGCCTTCCGAATAACCCCCGGTACCGTAGCTGTAATTTTGTGGGAAGTAAGGAAACGGTCCTTCACTATCTCTGCGAGTGCCCAGCATTGGCACAAATAAGGCAGATCACACTCGCGAGTTTTTCCATCCAAAATCTTGGGGAAATTTCCAAATTCACCATTACTAACCTAAATAGATTCATTGGAAAATCCAAATGGTTTGACGAACCCAACGAATCATGAAATCAGATAAAATCAGGGGTCCCACAGAGAGCGTATCAAAATGTTGCTTTCAGCACTAATTGGGTCCTGGGAACGTACCCAGGCGACGCTTCCTACAACCAACCAACCAGGCAGAGCCGAGTTTTGTAGTCGAAAAGTACACTGTGTAAATTTTGTTGCAAAATTCCAAATAGTTTTTTTTTAATCAACAATTGAAAATTGTTGAGTGATTTGGACATTTTTAATTTTATTTGAAAGTGTCCGAATGGAAAAAATTTGTTGGGTGCAGATTTAAGAAACATTAAACTATATAATGAAATTATTTGCGTTACAAAAAATTTTTTTTTTGTTGCTTTTCTATAATTTTTTTTGAACAGTTGAACATTTAAACACTTTCTGCGCCTCGTAAACGGAAATTTTTAACAACAACTTATGTAATAAACATTTCTGCATTTATCTATGAAAAAAATGCGTGCATTTCGAAATAGTTTGGTGGGAATGAATTTTTATTTGCAAGCGCGCGCGCCCGACTCCCGCGGGAATGTGATATTCGAACATGAGAAATAAAAGTGGAACGATTGAAACGTGCATTTCTTTCTTGTGCAAGAAGTCAACATGGATTGGGCGCGATCCAGCCGCGAGAGTCGGGCACGCACGCTGGCAAATAAAGATTCATTCCGACCAAACTATATCGAAATGCACGCATGTTTTTTCATAGATAAATGCAGAAATGTATATTACATAAGATGATGTTAAAAATTTTCGTCCACGAGGCGTAGAAATTGTTTAAATATACAAAAATGTTCAATTGTTCATAAAAAATTATTGAAAAGCAAAAAAAATATATATATGTATATTTGTGGCGCAAATAATTTCATTGTATAGTTTAATGTTACTTAAATCTGTTCCCAAAAAAATTTTTTTATTCGGACACTTACTTTCAAAGAAAAATAAAAGTTTTCAATTGTTGATTAAAACAAAACTATTTGGAATTTCGCAACAAAATTTACACAGTGTACTTTTGGACTACAAAACTCGGCACATCCTGAATATCATTGAAAAATATAAATCTTGGTAAATTCGGGGCCCACTTGAGGAAGCCTTACTTACCCATATAGCAATGAACAATTTTTCTGAATTTTCCATATTTAAAAAACCAATGGTAACCAATAACAAACGAAGCATCAACTTTGTTTCTGATACGCTTTTGCTCTAGCGATGCGTTTCGATAACTTTTCGGATGCGTTTTGGAAAAGTATACATTGTCAATATTTTGTAGTTCGGCGTTAAGGAACATTAGACTTTGTACGTATGCAAAGCAATTGACGTTTTGGAAGTCTCATTGGTTAGAAAACATGTATAGACACATCATTCATGTGACAAGAAGTGAAAAAAATAATATAAAAAAAACTTTTTAATATACAACGCTTTTATAAATGG